CATAGCTTTGGCTTCATATTATCAAAAATTCGTTAAAGGATTTTCTGGTATTGTTGAACCATTGCACCGGCTGTTAAAAAAAATGTACCCTATCAATGAACTAAGGCTCAACATGATGCTTTTGAAAAACTCAAGAAGTATCTAATGACCCACCTATTTTGGCATATCCAGATTTTGATAAAGCTTTTATATTATATACAGATACTTCTACATTTGCCTTGGGAGCAATTCTAGCGCAAAAAGGAAAAGATTCAAAAGAGTATGTAATAGCATATGCTAGTCAGACTCTTAATAAGTATGAAAGAAACTATACAATTACGGAACTTGAATGTCTCGCTGTCATTTGGACGATTCGATATTTTATCCACTATCTACATGAACAAAAATTCGTTGTTGTTACTGATCACTCCGCTTTGGTGTATTTGAAAAATAATTCAAATCCTGTTGGCAAACTTGGACAATGGATTATGACTTTAAATTCCTTTGACTTTGATATTACAAATCGACCCGACAAACAACACTCAAATGTAGATACATTAAGTCGAATAGAACACTAGCATATAATAAATTTAAAATAACATAATTGGATTTAACTTATTTTTGGATAACACTAACGCATAATTCTAAATTGATATAATGGATTCAGGAACATACTTCTCACTCATACAATATTTAATGGATTTTGACATACCAACATATCTCATCAAAGAATAACAATAAACAATAAAATGAAATCTCGATATTTTATTTTAATTAATGGATAATTATATAAGAAAAATAGAATCGACTCACAAAGGTCATACAAAGTTGTAAAAGAAAATGAAGTTGATACTGTGCTCTATAATCTACACTCTGATCCATTAGCAGGGCACTTAGCCTTAGAAGAAACATTTAGGCGAGTAAACATTCGTTATTACTGACCTCAAATGTATAAAGATGTAAGACGATATATTCAAACGTATGATGAATGTCAAAGAAGGGGAGTAAATAGAAGGACAGAACTATTACACTCCATAAAAGTCAGTCAACCTTTCGATCGAGTAAGAATAGATATCGTTAGACCTTTGCCAAAGACTGAAAGAAGGAACGCATATATCGTAGTTGCAACAGAATATTTGACAAAATGGCCTGAAGCTAGAGCTATTCCTGATGCAAAGGTATCATATGTTATGTCCTTTTCCTACGAAGACATCATATGCCGATATGGATGTTCTAAGGTACTTTTGACTGATAGAGGAACCCACTTTGTCAATAAAATGTTAAACTCCTTGTGTGCTGAATTAAGAGTCAAACATAAATTATCGATGATGTATCACCCATAGACCAACAGATTGGTTGAACGATTTAACCAAACGTTATGTGAAATGTTGGCGAAATTTGCATCAGAAAACAAAGATGATTGGGATCTTATGTACCATCAGCTCTTTTTGCCTATAGAACAAAGAGGTATGATATCACCTGACACGAACCTTTCTATCTGTTATATGAACGAGAGGTTACCTTGCCAATAGAATTCAAAGTTCAAACCCAACGAGCACAACCAAGTACTGCGAGTCACGATAAAAGTATTTTAGAAAGGATATATGATATTATTGGAAGAATATATGATGATAGGACTGAAGCACAAAATAATATAGAAAAGTTCCAACAAAAACAAAAACAGCGCCATGATAATAAATTAAAGGAGGCATAAACATTCAAGATTGGAGATATGGTTTTGTTATACAAAAGTAGTATATATAAGCGAAAGAAGCTAGAGGAACAATGGAGACGACCATATTATATATATGAGGTTCTCTCTAATGGTGCATATAAACTACGGACCCCTGATGATGAAATATTAAAAGCCCTGTAAATGGCGATAGATTAAAGTTGTACTATTCTAGATCATCGTGAAATATCTTGTAAACCAAAAAAGAAAGATCCTGACAGTCACGAAAACTATTGTCTCGAAAATTATAAATATCGTCACCCAAATCAAAAATTAAAAAGGTTTTCTCTCTTCAAATAATGGAACACTACTCTAAGAAATTAAGAGCAAATTTCTGTCAATTTTTGAAAACCAGGTTGCAAGAAGCTGATAGTGACGAAAAACTTGAATTTCCACTTCTGCAATAATCATCTCGAAGACTAAAAAACAAAATTCAATGACGACCCAGTCATTGTTAGAGAAATCGTCGAATGAATCAATCCTTGAGAAATGTAAGCAAGATCTTGAACAGGTCCCTCTGGAAATAATGGTTTTTCCTGATTATATATCACAACCAGAAGACATACGATTGCAAATACTGGTGAAACTAGTAAAAGAAAAAAATTTTCAGATCCAAACTAATATACATCAACTCGAAAAATTTTATTACTTGGGAAAATTATTAGCCTCGCGAAGATAAATCTCTGAAGACAAGAATGTTCTTGAAAATTTTTCTATCCGAAATAAAGATGCCAGCCGAAACTCCTCAAAATAATTTCGTTATATCTCTTACTATGTTTTTAATATAGTTTCGGTTAATTTCAGATTTCGTCGTACATCTCACTATGTTTTAATATAGTTTCGGCTGTTTATTAATTGCCTTTTTTGAGTTTTGTCCCTCAACTTTAATCCGAAGATATAAAGAGATTAAGAAGATTGTATGACAAGCCTATGACTTGTTCATAGTAAGAGGAGTTTCGAGTCTGTATCTCGTAAAATATATTCATCTAACATATCTGACCAACATGAAGGAGAACGATTTCTATAAACATCTAATACCAGAGGCTAGATGACAAAAACAAAGAGAATTTAAATGATTGTTGATCTCGCAGGGGCTTGACAATTAAAGAAGGCATATTTTACAAATAAATATAATTGTTCTATCATATTCTATTAGTTCCAGGGCATTGTGTCCCATTTCTGTTTAGTTTAAAAAATTAAGTTTTGTTAGTATTTAGTTAGATTTTTGTAGATCAATGGCCCAATTGTCCCCTGGCCAAATTGTCTGCTGGCCAATTCATCTCCTGGCCAATATGCCATCTAGCCATTATGTTTCGAGGATAAAAAGGCCTCCGAACGATTAGTTCTTGCTGGATTTTAAATATAAAAGAGGTAGGATTTCACTTGAGTAGAAAATATGAAGTGTTCCATATATTCCCTAGATAAAAACGATAGATAACATTAGCATATATCCCCTTTCCTTTTATTTGTAATGATAACGAAAGTATATTAATAAATTACGTATCTGATCGTATAGAGCGCCGAAGATTGAGGCAATACCTTATTTACGTAGATTTATGTTAGATTTTTCTTGTTATTAATAAAGATATTTAATTCATTTTTATAAATAAACCTTCTGCTTACCTTTTCTATTGTTTATAACCAATAAACCTTTCGAACTGCGTGCAACACAATATTCATGTGATAGTAAAAAAAATTAGAATTTTTATTTTTTTATCACATGACAAAAGTAAAAGTTTATCTAATGTTGACGTCTTTTTAGTAAGGATTTGATTAATATTGGTAAGGAAAAAAAAAATGAATAATATATTAATTTAAATAGAGTGTAAGCGAGTTACAAGGTTATAGAGAAATTTTCAGACTAACATAATACATACTTCCAAAATGTTTTCACAATTAGTATTCAAAATTAAATATTTTTATTAAGAAAAAAATTAAAGCGTTAAATAAATAAACCATTTTTCTTTCATAATATCAAAATACTGTAAAAACCATTTTTTTTTTATCATTTAACAAAAAATATTTAAAGACTTTGCAATAAATAAATTTTGCATAGTATAAATCATTAAAACGAATCAATCGTATCTATGCTTTATTGATGCATGTGGTTGTGATTTAAGAAAATCAAGTTCTTGACTAAAATAAATATATTATTACATTAGTCTAAATGAAATAAAAATTAAAATGCAATTAAAATCTCAATTTTGATAAGAACTTGATTTTCTTAGATCACAACCCATATGATCGTAATTAAATAAGAGGGCTATGCATAATTCAATCCACCCGCTGTCACTGCTTTGTAAGAATTAAAAAATAGAATAGATGATGTCATGTTAAAAATAAAAATAAAAATAAAAAACAGGGACACATTTAATCAAAAAAATCTTTTATCTCATAAACCAACTCGAAAGTGAAACTTGAGAAAACAAAATGATAATAAAAATGCAAGTAAAAAATAAAATGTTAAAAATATTTAATGGCTGAATAACTCAGAAATTAAATAAACTAAAAAAAACTATCACCGCGGGAGCAAGCCGAAAAAGAATTTCTAATTATTAATAAATAATTTTGATGAAAAAAAATGAAATAAATATCATTTTACAAAGCGAAATAATGTGATCAAAAAATCTTTGCGCCTATAAAATAGATAAATTAGAATCGAGAAACAGAATTCATCGATTCTATAATCGATTTTACTTTTTGAATCCATTCCCTGCGACGATTTGCAGTTACTTTGTTGTAAATATCGCTTTAACAGAACACCTTGAACTTAGTTACTCGCAATGATGTGTTTCAGGTTAGTCATTATTTACCTTTAAATCTCTTATTTTTTTAAGAGCACATATACCGGAGAAATTCAGTTCTCAAAAATAAAAAGTTTTGATAAATAATAGGACTGTAAATCACGCTAAAACACGTTTAAATATAAAAATTAAGATGCTTAGGAAAGATTTTACAAAGCGCACCGCTATTACGGTAGAGAGTTATATAATAATTATTTCATAATTTTTTAGTGATAAAGATATCGAGCCATAAAACTATGAATTTATTTCAATAAATATAAATAAATAAAGGTTGAAGTCCATATTTTAATAGAACTTGCTTATTTTAATAATTGTACCTCCTAATTTTGTATAGGAGGTAATTTAATAAAAGAATATTTATTGCGTTTATTGCAAATGATAAAAATAAAATAATTCAATTAAGTTTCATATGTTGTCGTTTAGGAGGAATAAAATTAACGTAACAATTCCAATTTTAACCAATATAATTTCGAAACTATTTTTAACTATGTCAAAACTGTGGTTTAAGATCAGTTAAAACAAAAAATTAAATAATCTTACTAGTGATCGGATTCGTGTCAACTCGTGACTCATAAATTAACATACTCAAATCTTGTGATCGAGTTCAATAATCGAGTTTTACCAGAATTTTTATTTCAATTAATTTTATAAAATTGAAAAAAAAAAGTATTTCTATTAGGTACAGAACAATTACTTTCGAATCCCTTATGTTTACGAACGAGTTGTCGGGCCATCATAATACGAAACTAGTCAATATCCAATGTAACCTAACGAGTTGCAGTTCATTTTTCTGAAAAATTATCAAACGAAGTACGTCCTTCTGAGAATGACTATCACCTTCTTCGTTCTTTATCATTATTTTTGAACTTTTTTTTTGGATTCGAGACCGTTTTTTAGATGAAGGTTTGGTATTGTTAGCTTTATTAATGGATTCCATAAATAAATTATCTATTAATAGAGGTTGAGATAAAAAAGTTGCAATAGCAAGGAAAGTTTATTAAAATTTTATAAAATTATAATATTATTTATTAAATATATTGATTGACTCACGAGTTAAAATCCCTCACTTTAATCATGATCGTGATAAATTCGAATTATTCGAATCATAAATTGACGAGACGGATCAATAAATCTGCTTCTATATAGCCAGTACGGTACGTATTTAGAGAAGTCGCCCTTAATTAAAGATCTAAATGATTTTTTTGTATTGCATATAAAATTTATTTAATAATAAATTATGCGTTTATTAAAATTTTCTAGTAAGCTTTCTAATATATGTAGTAAGCATTATCTGAAGATAATTTCTACAATAATTCTAATAAGAATTATAAATTATTTTTTGTTCGATTGCGAAATATATTCATATAATTCATGCACGATTCATTAACTTTATTGATATATGATTGTTATAAATGTAGTTAATAAAAGCTCCATTTTTAGGATAAATAATTTCTTATATTGTTTAAATACAGGAAGGTGAAATAAATATGTAATAAGTTTTCGAAAGCAACAATTTATGTTTGCAGTTGTTTCTTCATCTAGAGGAAGGAGGTTTCATATCATTTATAATGATTCCGTGAAAGGCTTAATTTTCATGGAAATTTTACGTAATCCACGGAGAAATAATTGAAATAATCGGGCGAAAATTTTATATAGGGACAAAATGACTACTTAATTAATCTAGAGCTTCTGGATGGACACGATAAATATTCTGAAATTGATAAGTTATATTCATTCATTAAATTTGAGGCATACTACAAAAAATAATTTCTACTCTATGATCCTAAATTTTATAAAAACGAAAATAAAAACTTATTTTGTTTTATACTATAATTATTGTTATAGTAAATATTAATTTAATAATTTTAAAATATTTTTTCTTCAGGAATCTTTACTTATCCTGACTACTAATTCAACACTCAAATTATTATATCAGCTAATGATTAAATTTATTAATAGATAATTAAATATATCAATTTCTTACATCGCTCGCTATAATGCGTTCCAATTTACATGATTAATTCCTAAAAATAAACAATTTACAGTTTAGAAATATTAAGAATAAAATAAAACTTTAAAAATTATCATTTACCGTTGCCATTGATGAGGTTTATCATTGTTTGATTTAATTTTAAAAATCTTCTTGATTTTCTAATTAAAGTAAAATAAATTATAATGACAAGTTTAGTCATTATTTAAAAAGCTTATTAATAACGAAATGACTCATTACCATTGATAGGTTATAAGAATTACTCTTAGATTTGCCAATATTCATATCTGTAAATATTAATTATATACAGTAAATTCTTAAATTATTAAATTATTAAATCAAATAACGTAATTTTAAAACAAAATATTAAAAAATTACCAATTATTGATGTAGACACGATCTTTTCTGTATGATCTTTAGGGATTTTTAATTTTTTTTATGGTAGTCAAATTAATTAATAAATTTCTTATGATTACATAAACAAGTCAAGTATTACTTACTATTTGAAATATTAAGACTGTAATGCATGCTACCGTAAGCTGTTTTTTAAAAAAAGAAATATCAAATTAATCTTAAATTAAGCTTTAATATTTAAATAATTTAAATGACAAATTTTTGCTCTTTTGTAAGTTAAAAAAGAAATAAAATAATTAAATTTCATTTAATAATGAACATAAACAAATTAAATATTTTACCTTCAGTGGCATTTCTTGGTTCAGGTAAATCCTTAAAAGTGTAAAGTTTACTAAATGTTCTGACTAATGAACCATTAGAGTTTAAATTTATATTAGGTTCTGGTTTTGCATTTGATTGTTTACAGTTAGAATTAATGTTTTCATTTTTATTTTGATAATATGATTTTCGTATTTCTGTAATTTTATCATCGAGGGTATCAAAATCAGGTCTCTTCAATGGATCAGCATCCCAACATTGTTCCATTAAACTTGAATATTCCAATGGAGTTCCTTGTACGATTTGTGGTCTCATTCCATTCATTATTTTCATTACAAGATCATAATCATGGTCAAAACCAGCAAAAGGTGGTTGTCCAGATGAAATCTCCCACATAAGCATACCAATACTATAAATATCTGATGCAAAAATATATCCTTTTCCATTAATAACTTCAGGCGCTATATAAGGAAGATTTCCATATATACTTCCTAATGGTTTATCAGCAGGTCCACAAAATCCAAAATCACTAATATGCCATCCACCATTATATTCAGAATATAATATATTTCCTGAATGCATATCTCTATGAATAGAATTTTCTTGATGAAGACGTGAAACTGCACCGATTATGTGTACAATTATGTTGATTCTTTGTTTCCATGTAAGTTGGTTATGATTTTGTTGTAAATATTTTTTTAAATCTATTTTGAATAAGACCATTACAAGAAAATAATCTTTATTTTGTGGATTTTGAGTAAGGCCATAAGATTGAGCGAAATTTGGCCATTTGCTGCTTAATATTAATTGAGATTCAGCCTATAAATGAGAATTCATTTGATTAGCTTCTTTCTTTTTTTTATTTTATTATGAATACTTTTCTTTTAAAATTACATACCTCTTCAAACCAACTTCTATTAGCACTTTCGACATTTACTAATCTTTTAAGTATGATTTCCTGTCTTCCATATCTTATTAATTGTTTTTTGATACAATCCCATTCGTAATAATGTCCATCAATCCAATCTGCCAAATATATTTCTGAACATCCACCTTTAGTTAAATATTGTATATTTTGCAATTTATCGAATGGGATCGATTCAATTATTTTAAAAGGTTGATTTGCTACCATCTGACATTTTTTTATTAAATTATCAATTTCATTATTTCCCGATGTCCATTCTGAAAATTTTAATTTCAAATAATTTCGAATGCAATGTTCGCAATATGTTATTGCAAAACATTCTTCTTTGCAATTTTCACAAACTCTTTTCATTCCTTGATTTAAGGTAATTTTCTCATAGTCATAACTCTGAATTAATAATATTATTGCCTCTAATTTTTCCTTTTTAGTGAGAGTTTCGTCGGCGTAAATTGTTTGTTGTCTAAATTCATGACGTTTGTCAATATCTGAGTAAAGGTTATAATCGGTTAATGCAAATGCTCTATCACATGCATCGATAATTAATTCCATACGAATGGAGGACATAATGTAATGAAATAAAATTTTTAAAAGAAATGTTTAACGGGATTAATACTCCGTTTTTTATTCCAAATAGAATATGATCGCTCTGTACAAACTTTGTTCTACGTATGGCAAAGTAAATATCACATGATATTGTTCAACATGACTAATGATCAAGAAAAATACAGAAAAAGTCGATAAACCAAAAATAAATTCTATCCTATGCCTTTACAAAGCGAGCAAACCTAAACTTACTTAACATGCGATATTGGGAATAGAATTGATTCAAAAAGATGAAATCAATTAATCGCGATTTTCGAATATTGTTCTAAATTTCGGTTTATGTAAAATAAAAAGTAATTAAGAATTGAAAACATATAAGAAGTTGAATTTTAAGTTCCCAATGAGTCTATGCTAAATTGTTTGGTTGGTTATCCAAAAATACGTGGTAAAGTTCGTAATGTTTAGACGTTTTCGTTAGATTTTAATTATATTATTATTAAGAACCACATGCTAAACATGTACTTTCAAGGACCTAATGACTTTGGACTTATTATCAGAGAAAAGATGATGCTATACTAAGACCAATGATATTTAGCGTTTACCCGAAAATTTGAGAGGAATTCTCATTTTTATCGATCTCCCAACAATGAACATTTTTGGAATTTTTAAATAGTAAATATATTCATCATTTTCCAGAAAAAGTTGAATCGATCATTAAAGAATTCGTAAAATTCTTGGTGACATGAAATACTTCATAATAATCAATCGTAAACTCTCCTGGCTTTTAATAAGTACAGTACAAATCTCCAATATTGTCACACACATTTCTTACAATACATGGCTACAGCAGGAATGGAATATATAGCAAAGCGTTGATTTGTTATTCTATAAATATGATGCAATCATCACCTCATCAAATTATAGTTTGGTAATTCATTTATTAATGAAAGTGAAATTTAAATTATCTGGGTACGAATGATCCTAAACTCCATATCATTTTGATGATATCATTTCGTAACCTTTATTATTTGTTATGCCTGAGACATTTTAAAATAATGCGGGATCGCTGAATTTCGGATTTTTGATCACAAAATTCATTAACCAATCCTAAAAAGTGGTCAAATTAAAGAAATTTGAATTGCTTATTTGACTATTCTTTATTGGTAAAGATCTTAAGAATTTACATTAGTTTCTTTAAAATCATTCCGTTTTTTACATTGTTAAGCTTAAACTGTTCGACGTTAAGTTAACAAAGATTATTTGCTAGCTGGGAGTTTAAGTACGTCTAAACTATGGAAGAAATAAACACGAATAATTAATTGAAGGGTCAGGTCGTCTTTATTGATATAGATTTAAAGAAGAATGAATTGTTTAACGAGCAAGATAAGTTTCAGAGATAAATATTATTGATTTATTAGAGAATTGGTAGCGACTCTGCCATTTATTGAGGCAGAAATACAAGATATTTATATAAAATACATCAATATGAAATAGATATTTAAGATAGTAAAGAAATATAAGAAATATAAGAAAATAAAGATATTAAATATATTAAAGAAATATGTGAAATTAGAGAAATTGGAGATCGCTAAGAAATTAGTGAAATCCGAGAAATCAGAGAAACGATAGAAAGTTGAGATTCGTGATCGACATGAAAGTTAGGCGCAGTATCGTGCGTCATAACAAGACTATCATTAACAACATTTAATATTGTATAATTACGATTCGGTTAAAAATAACGACCAAAAAAAAAAAAAAACACTTTTTATTTAATTCGCAAAAATCGGGTCATGATTAGGTCTAAACTCGTCAGCCAATAATTATCAAGAACAAGCTTAGTGAATTATTTGTTTTTTTCGACAACAATATGTTTTTGATCAATGTTATGACTTCTTAAAATATCATATCATCTTTTAATTTCTTGGGCAATAATCATTAAATTCAACTTTATTGAAACGTTTATCAAAAAAAAAACCTAATCAAAGTTATAAATCTTTGAAATTTTTTTCTAAAAACTCTAAATTCATCTCTTCACGATTTTTAAGTATACTCTATTATAACTATTTCAACAATTCCAACTAAATCTTACCATACGAACTTTTATGTTTAACAACAAGATAATCTTGTAAAAATTCAGTTTAATCAGAATCATTAACATTATATAATCAGAATCGTTTTAGTTTCATAACCGTGATGTCATCGCTCTCTAAGTAAAAAAACTTTAAAGCAAAATTTTTATAGTAAGCAAAATATCTTGTTAATAATATATATTCATTGAAATATTTAATTTTCAATAATTATAAAAGATTATGGAGCAATCTTCGGCTTTTTTTTTTTAATAAAATATTTGAAAAATATATAATTAAATAAACTTTGCTTTTCAATCTTGCCTTTCCATTAAAAATTTGCCGAGCATCCCACCGTCTTTTCAAATTTATTACCAATTGATTCCTCAATATTTGGCTTTTCAATTTTAGCATAAACTTAATTTTTTGACTCATCTGATTTTTGAAAATTCAATGAAATTTACATGACTTTTTTCAAATCTAGTTGGCGATTTTTAAATTTAGCTAACAGTATTGTATAAATTCAAAATTGATGATTGAATGTAATGATTTTATTAATCGAAAATTAAATAAATGCTAATATAGGAGTAATCCATTTCTTTTAAAAAAAAAGTAAATAAAAGAAAACCTAACATATTAATTATAAAATAAACATTTTAAAAAAAATACTACACAAAAGTAAAAAATTAAATTTGATCGCAAAAATCATCAAGAAACAAAAAATTAATTTAAAACATATGTCGAAAACCAAATAATATATTTAAAATAATATTTAAAAAAAAATCAGTTGCTCGAAAGTAAAAAAAGTTTTAAAAAAAAAACCAAGAAAACAAAAAAAAATATAAAAAAAAATTCTTCTTAAACTTACGAAATATTCGAACCTAAAAAGTAGTAAATAAAAAATAATTCTGGAACTCTGATAAAATATAAAAATGATTTAATAACGCATCATCGTCTTAATATATTAGAATTTCCTAAATCAGACTGTATTATGCGTGGATAATCAATGTATGACCTAAAGTTCTTTTGAGGGATAGGGCATCGTATACGAGATTTCCTACTGGATGTCTAGTATAAAACTTATCAATTTGAATTCAGTGGTCGGGTCTTCTATTAAATTTCCTAGCATAAAATTTATGTATTTTAATATAGTCGTCTCTCTCTTTACTAAAATGTTCTTTATTATTCTTTTTGCAATAGGATTTTATAATAACTTTAGCTATAATAACCCGAAAGTGAAGAAATTCATTCAACTACAGGCACTATGACTTATGAAATTACCAATGTCTTTACGATCCTACGATCAAACTAGCGAAAATCAAAGAAAGATGGTGAGTATGATTTCATACTTTCAATTGCGTATTAAGCCTAGAATCTCCTGAATTACTTATGGACTGGGAGACATACTGAATTGCTGATTATATCTCATCGTTGTTGCATCGATATTGAATATTGGATACGGACTATGATTTAATGACGGATTGAGGCCTGGGATTTTCTGAATTGCTAATGATTTTTTTAGTTATTAAATTGATTAAAAAGCTGGTCAATTAATGAAATTATACGCTTTATATTCAATAGTTTACGATTTATTTTGAAGCTAATTTCATAAAATTCTTATTTTGCAATAAATTTAATTGGTTGCGCCTTAAAATTTTGTTACGATTTAAAAAATATTACATCATTTCCGAGGATAGTGAATATGGAAGAGAAGCATTTGATTAAGTAATATCTCCTTGGTTATTAAGATCTTAAACTTAATACGATGAATGTACCAATGAGTATGAATTAAAATTTTTGTACAAAAGTATAAATAATAAGCTTCACTATAAATTAATATCGTTTTGATTTATTCAAATGGAGTTCTTTCAAAATACTATACCAAATTACTTGTATATTTATCACATTGATTAATGACTACACTACATTATAATCTTGTAAACTTTTAATTTGGTGAATCATTATTTATAATATTAATATCGATATTTTTAGATCTGATTTTAAATAGGCATAGCCCATAATAAACAAGAAAGATAATAAAATAATCGGAATCTTCAATATTTTGATGTATAAATGTCTTTAATATTATATATGATTTGGCTCATTTAAACGATAATAATTTTTCGCATGATCACGTATTTCATAGGAACTAAATTATTTGCAGTTTTGCCAAATAAAGTGATTAGGTAATATTCTTAGAAAGAGAATTCAATTGAACCTTTGGCAAAATCCTTTCAACGATAAAGTTAATAGTAAGCTATTAAGATTGTTAGATGCGATATTCACTTGAAACGACTAATATTGACTAACATGGTATTTTAATAAAATTTTAAAGAATAACGATTTACCGCGAAGGTCATCATTAATTCAAGTAATTTTTTTATTTTTAATAAAATTTACAAAATTATATGAATTAAGGCAGATAAACTAACTAATACCTTAAGCAAGTATAATGTTTTATAGTTAATTTTCACAAATGACCTTTTAAAAGATACTCGATATGAAATTAAATTAAATTGTTTTGTGGCATTAATGTGGTGTTTATTAACTTCGCTTTTAATGTAAATTAACAAAGATGCGTTGTTACAACGATTTTTAAATTTACGTACTTACCGTTTAACTTTACTCATAAACACTCCTACTAAATCACCTGTGAATGCAATGAGAATTATAAAGACTATCCAATAAAAATTCCGTTTGCGCTGTAAATTTTCCTCAAATAATTATAAAAAAAAAAACATTAATATACAATTTACGTCCATACAAAAATATATATTTTTATTTACATGTAAAATACAAATGAATTTAGTTATTATTTCATCAAAATGATATAAAATACATGTTGAATAAATGACAAAATAGAAGAGTAGGTACGATATTCCCAATAATTCATAACCACATTCCATTAGTATTGTAAGTAAGACTGACTATATGTTGCTTTACAAATAGTTGATCATGATTATCGTGATTCCAACCACGAACGTATGATAAAATTTATATGAAAAATTATTCCATGACGAAGAGTTTAAATCTTCGTTGAATGGGAGATCGGGCGGAGATGGTGATTTATAGTTAGGGCTCTCCTTTGTAGCATATCTTAATTGTACAAAATCATTCAAATTTAATGTTAGCAATTTTATAAATTTTGTCAGAATGTCAAAATTAATTTGATTTTAATATACCCTAAGCTTTCAAGAATTAAACGGAGCTTATGACCTATAGCACCTCCGGCATAATTTCCACCTATTCGAATGTTATCATTTAGAGTTCGACCTTTTTCTTGAGAAAACGTCATCAAAAATTCACTTGTATTTGTATACGTCAAACTATCAACATGAGAAATGCTAGAACCTGGAAAGATTGAATATATGATGTGAATATCTTATATTTATTAGTAATCACAATTAATATTAATGAACGTTATTATACCTGGTCGATAGGGATTTAGAGAAGTTTCTAAATATGTCATATCCTCTTCTTTATCACTAACGCTCGGTTTGAAAACGAGATCTTTAGGTTTAATGAAATAACTAAAGATTTCCTTGGCAACTAAAAATTGCGGTGAGACAACAAATTGGTTCAAAAAATCGAAAGCATTTTCATAAGTTGTTCCAAAATCAGCAAATTTATTTAATTCGTTTGCATAAGATGAGATTAATTTATTTTCCGGTAATAGGATCAAATATTTGTCAAAAGCACTTTCTTGAAATCCATTAAAAACAAATTTTGCATTTAAATCAGGTAATGTAGTTCCAGTCGTCAAACCAACAATTTCAGGAGTAGCAGCTTCAGGGAAGTTATCCAAATAAACATTCCACGATGAAGCAAATCCAAGCCCATGCATCAATTCATGTATAATTAATTCCAAGAAACCAATTTGTTGACTGGTAATTGGAGGATCACCTTCGAACCAAAAAGGTATCAATGAGTTGAAGTCAGCAATAATATCAACAGGAGCAAATTCAGGATGCACAGATAGTTGGAATTGTTTAACCAAAGATTGTGGATACAATCTTTCAAATCCATCATCATCTTTCATTGGCATTGTTCTGTAAGGTCCTGCGGCTCCTAATATTCCAGCACTTTCCATTTCACGAAACTTTGCATTGATTAAAATTGGTGTATTTAATATTAAAGTCGATGATATTATAAGACCTGCTTCTTCGAAAGAGGATTTTACTTTTGCACATCTTGTTATATCTTTAATTTCACAATTGAATTGAATTACAAACATATTTGTGTCGTTTTGTACTTGATAATTAACATTTTTCATCGGTTGTTTCTTTACCAATAAACACTTTGAGGCGAGCTTAATATTTGGTTGAGTAGGATACGGTTGGTCAATGCATTGTGCTGAATTCAACGGTATTGAGATGAGTGTTAGAGAAAGGAACAAGCAACTTGAAATTAGTGACAACAGATTCATGTCTGTCGTTTAAAGAGAAATAGGAAAGGTTTTAATGACAAAATAATTTAACTTTTCAAGTATGATACTTTACGAATCAATGATAAAGTTAAATAGTAATATATTTATTTTTAGAAAAAATCTTAAATGATTTTAAACAAAAAAAAAAAAAAAAAAAATATTTGAAATCCGAATTTTTTCGTACGAAACGGATCAAATGAGTGTTGAACAGATTGGGCGTAAATGTAACACTAAAAATCGTTATTTTTAGATGTAAAGATTTGTGTGACATTAATCTTGGACAATATGAAGATCTCGAAATTAATTAATTGTTTATTGAGCAACGCAGAAAACAATGAAGATGATCGTCCTTTTTACGGTAAGTAATGAAAATATATGGTTAATATGTTTTGCATAATTTTAAATTGGGGTAGATCCAAACAAAATTTTTAATTTATAATAACGTGACATTAAATTTTGATCAATAGTCTAGCTAGTTTAAAATTTGATAAGATCCTTGACTTTGGGACATAATAATTTACCTTTGACGCTAATGTTACAAAAGCATATGATATTTCTACTATTGAACCTTTTACTGATATATAACATTATACGAACCTTTTATTACATTACTTATGCTTTGCTAATTTAAAGTGTTGTTGAAATAAAAAAGATATTTAATAGCAGAAATAGCAACAAATTTGTATTTGGAATTAATAGAATCAATGAAACTAGGACCCGAATTTTGTTAAAACCTCTTCAAAAGCAATTTTAAAAGCTGAACATTTAGGATTCTAAATCTAAGTATTTACCCTATTTAATACGAAAAACAAATTAATTTTAATTGCTACTTATTAAACTTCATGTTTGCATATAAAGAAAACTCGACGATGGAGAAAAAGTAATCAGAAGGAATTCAAAGTCCTGATGGTACTCAGTTTGTAACGTTAAAAACCGCAAAGTATTAATTAAAATTCTATAAATTTGAAATCCCGACTAATTTATATAATAATCTAGTGAGTTTAAGAAAGTCGCCTTCATTAAATTAGAGCTTAGCTTGACAATGAATTTACTTTAGGTGATAACAGATTGCTTGTCATGTTTGATGATAATGAAATGATTCACTCGATCCTAGATCATTATTTTCGCACTGCGCATTGCACATTAGACAAAGTTTTTCACTTAATACCATAATCTGTATGACTAAATAAAGTATTTGGATTGATATTAATTTAAAATAATTATTAATAACAGGGGAGTATGTTCCTTGAAGTTTCAATTGACCAATTGATTTTTAAAAATTTTCATAGAAAATATACAGAATATAAAAGAAAAATACAAATCTTCGAATTTTCTAAGAGAGATGTATATCTATTTAATAATAAATATCGTGGTCTTTATCATAAAAAGCACCTGTTTGAGTTTGAGAGCAAGAATATGTTGAAGTGTAGTATAATATTTTATCTGAAGTCTAATAATCCCAAGACTTTTTTGTTACAGAAACTCTGTCGATTTGATTAGTCTTATACAAATATATACTTATACTACTTATACTGCTACGCTACGAATGATAATTATGAAATAATTAAAAATATAACGAACCACTAATTTAAAATATTCCCGCTGTACTCTGCGGTTGATAATATTGAATAATAAAATTTGTTCAAGTGCAAAAAGTTTAGTAAAATGTCGATTGTTTTGCCATTTCAAAAAATGAATCTTTATGCTTGTTTATTGCGAATAAATTTAGTAGAAAGTTGCTGATAGATTACAAAAAAATAAATTCAAGAATGCTTGGAGTATTAGTGAAGATGATATGGGTCATTTGTTAATATAATCAGGTCACGAGACATGAACTCAAACATTAATTTTATTAGTAAACCTCCCATATGGTCGTTTTTGTAGAAAGTAAGGAGGAATTTTAAAAATAAATGATTTTTTTATATGTTAAATGTGATTTTTTTAGTAAAATAATACCAGACTTAACATTTATTCAAAAAATAATACCTTTTTGGAGTTTCCACACTTTTAAATGCAAAGTGCCAGTATATTGAGCCTACTACGAAAATGTTTTTTTGTACTGTACATTTGTTAATTATGAGAATTAATTATTTATACTTCATATCAATTGAATCAGCTACAAATCGTAATATTTCAATAAGTATTCTATAGAAATTTTGAATAAATATTTTTGATTGCATTCACGTCTCAGGGTTTTATGAATAAATAAAAAGAAATTTATTAATGAATAAATAAGTTTGCATCAAATTTTGAATTTGAAATTTGACATATAAATTACATTGCCTATAATATTCCTACTTCATGATGACTTCAAATTTGGTCAAATTATGGTTAATTCGATAAATTGTCATGGATATTATTATTAAGATAAAGTTCCCTAAATTCATCCTATTAAAACTTCATATTAAATTTTTAAGACTTGCTAGTTTGGAAGAGATACAAATCCAAATCTTTCGTCATAAAATGATGATATCGATCACCCATACGATCTTGTTCTAGAAATAAATGATTATGGTATAAATTTACTTCCAATCCATGCGTAATTTGATTAAAGTATAATTAAGCTTTTTTAATGGAGGATGCATAAATCATTACATTCAAGAAGTACTTAATTTTCCTGAACAGAAATCGGGTCGATTAATCCTTTTCAGATCACTTTTCCAAAAGTTAGTCTTATTGATAATATTTTATGACATATCTGTAACGTCATATAGAATTTTCTGCCCGATATTCGAACTATAGTCGAATTTCGAAGGTTGCTCAAACAATTTATATGCTTGGAATATTTTGGAATGAATAATCTTGAATAAAGTTCTAGTTTTTCAAATTGATCTGACTTATAAGCGATTTAAAATTTTTTCGCGTTGCTATCAAATTTATTATCATTGGGTGATTGATTTTAGAAGTTGGGAACTCCAAAAAACAATATCATGAATAAAAAGTCTCTTGATGAACTCTAATAAATATTGAAGATATGATAATTCATTTTTGCATAAATTTTTATTAGATTTACATGAGTCTAGCGATTAAAAATATTATAATTTTGGATATTTCAATAAATATTGGAAAAGTAACTTCATACTATATTAGTGAAGAATAACTAGTAAGCTTAATGGTATTTTCTTTTTATTTTTCTAATATTCAAATATTTCATTCAAATGGGTGTTGACGAATTTTATAAAGCAACTGTATTTAAAAATAAAAATTTGTTTAAAAATATTAAAGTTTCATGGTTTGTATCACGTAAGTTACATTGCATGATGTTGTAATTAGATAATTAGTTCAGAAAATTAATTTGCTTAAATAAGTGTCATAATTATAAAATAAAAATAAAAGCAGACACTAGGACATGGAGATTCTGACAAAGGCTAAATGTTTACGTTCTTTGAAATTTATAGTAACAATGTAATAATTATGCCAATTTGGCTGCAGTAAGAAATTAAAAATTCAAATTTTCGTAATTTCCGAAAATTTGAACCCGAAAAAAGCCAAGAAAAAATGTTTAGTTGATTTATTTTATTGAAATTTTTTATTAATAATTTAATTTTCGTTGGCAAATCCTTTTCAATAAATAAATATTTTTGGTGATTGTTCACGTTAAAATTATGATCAAAAAATTGAAGCATCATTAAAAGAAACTTAGAACAATCAATACTCGAGAAAAAATGAATTTGCAAGTTCAAAACTTAATAATTAACAACATTATAAATGTAATTTTTATAAATACACATGATAACTATTATTTATCGGCGAATTCTTTAAAGAAGCGCTTGATTTATATATCCTTTAAATGCAGAGATTCTTAAATGTCCAATTCTCTTCTTACAAGAACAGTACAGGAATAGGAAAATCTAGAGGCGCAGCATTTTTATTTTTAATACTTAAATTTACTTATGCAGTAATCAAAGTTTTTGTTTTTGATTTATCTTTACTTCTTTATTTTATTTTAAGGAATCTTTTTCGAGTTGAATTACTTTGGAAGGTATTTTGTTTTCATTTTTTTTGATCATCTTGTTTTTATTTTTATGGGTCATATCGTACAGCGATATATTTATTATTTTCCGTTTTGTTCTTTTAATATGGTAGATTATTCTTATTTATTGCTTCACATTTAGGTTTGCTCGCTTTGGAAAGGCATAGGATAGATTTTTATTTGGTTTATCTAAATCTTTAAATATTGTTCTATATATAATTTTATTTATTCATTTTTTTGCGATCAATTTGGTTTTGGTAGAATCCATTCCAATCTCTAGTACGATAGATAGGTTTAGAAATATATTTTTCGAAAAAATAATATAATAATTTCAGCTTACAAAATCGCCTTCAGAATAATATTCCAATTGGTTTAAAGCGCAACGACTGCGCCTTCCGCAGTATTAGTCACGTTGAACAAAATCATGTGATATTTACTTTGCGATACGTAGAACAAAGGTTGTAATGAGCGATCATATTCTATTTTGAATAAAAAAACGGAGTATTAATCCCGTTAAACATTTCTTTTTTGAAAAATTTAATTTCATTATGTTCTCCATTCGTAAGGAATTAGTTAACGATGCATGTGATAGAGCATTTGCATTAACCGATTATAACACAGACATTGACAAACGTCATGAATTTAGGAAACAAACAATTTACTCCGACGAAACTCTCACTAAAAAGGAAAAATCAGAGGCAATACGAAAATTAATTCAGGGTTTTGAATCCGATAAAATCACCTTAAATCAAGGAATGAAAAGAGTTTGTGAAAATTGCAAACAAGAATGTTTTGCAATAACATATTGCGAAAATTGCATTCGAAAATATTTAAAATTAAAATTTTATGAATGGACATCTGGAAATAAGGAAATTGATAATTTAATAAAGAAATGTCAGATGGAATCTGTTCTTCCTTATAGAATAGTTGAATGGATCCCATTCGATAAATTGCAAAATATAAAATATTTAACTAAAGGTGGATGTTCAGAAATATATACGGCAGATTGGATTGATGGATATTATAACAAATGGAATTCTATCAAAAAACAATTAATAAGACATGGAAGACATGAAGTCATACTTAAAAGATTAGAAAATGTCGAAAGTGCCAATAGAAGTTGGTTTGAAGAGGTATATAATTTTAAGAGTTATTAAATGTTGTTTTTTATAAAAAAAAAGGAAACTAATCAAACGAATTCTCATTTATAGGCTGAATCTACATTAAAATTAAGCAGCAAATGGGGATGTTTCGCTGATTCTTATGGTCTTACTCAACATCCACAAAATAAAGATTATTTTCTTGTAATGGTCTTATTCAATATAGATTTAAGAAAATATTTACAACAAAATCATAACAAACTTACATGGAAACAAAGAATCAACATAATTGGTAACATAATCTATGCAGTATCACGCCTTCATCAAGAACGTTCTATTCATAGAGATTTGCATTCAGGAAATATATTATATTCCGAATATAGTGGAGAATGGTATGTTAGTGATTTTGGATTTTGTGGACCTGCTGATAAACCATTAGGAAGTATATATGGAAATCTTCCTTATATAGCGCCTGAAGTTATTAATGGAAAAGGATATACTTTTGCATCAGATATTTATAGTATTGGTATACTCATGTGGGAAATTTCATCTGGACAACCCCCTTTTGCTTATGCTAACCATGATTATGATCTTGCAATAAATCTAATAAAAGGAATGAGACCACAAATCGTACAAGGAACTCCAACAGAATATAAAAATTTATGGTTCAATGTTGGGATGCTGATCCATTGGAGAGACCTGATGCTAAAACACTTTATAACAAATTTACAGAAATTCAGAAATCATATTTTCAAGATAAAAATAAAGAATAAGGCATTAATTTTAACAGTACACAATCAAATGCAAACCTAATATAAGTTCTAATTCTATTAGTTTATTAGTCAGAACATTTAGTAAACTTTACACTTTTAAGGATTTACCTGAACTAAGAAATGCCACTGAAGGTAATCTATTTATTTAATTTTTTTATGTTTATTATTAAATAAAAATAAAATTTTTTTAACTTACAGAAGAGCAAGAAGGTTGTCATTTTAATTTTTTTAAATATTAAGTTTAATTTATTATTAATTTGATATTTTTTTTTATAAAAAAAAGCTTACGATAGCATGCATTACAGTCTTAATATTTCAAATAGTAAGTAATACTTGTTTATATGTAATTATAAGAAATTTAATAATTAATTTGACTACCATAAAAAATTAAAAAACTCTATAAAGATTATACAAAAAAGAACATGTCTACATCAGTAATTGGTAAGAATATATATTTTTTAATATTTTGTTTTAAAATTACGTTATTTACGTTATTTGATTTAATAATTTAAGAATTTATATAATTACAGATATGAATGTTGGCAAAACTAAAAGGAATTCAAATAATTTTACAATGGTAATAAGTCATTTCGTTAATATTAATCTTTCAAATAATGACTAAACTTGACATATAAATTTCTTTTTTACTTTAATTAGAAAATCAAGAAGATTTTACAAATTAAATCAAGCAAATATAAAACTTATTAATGGCAACGGTAAAAGATAATTTGTAAAGTTTTATTTTATTCTTAATATTTCTAAAACAGAATCGTTTATTTTATAAATTAATACAATCATATAAATTGGAACGCATTATAGGCATAAAAAGCGATGTAAGATATTGATGGTTCTTTTTATTTATTACCAAAATTTACAATTTAATCATTATAATCTCATTAGATGATATAATAATTTAAATGTTGGTTTAGATGATCAGGATAAGTAACGATTCCTTAAGAAATAATTATTATACATTATTTAATTATATTAAAATAAAAAATTATTGTATAAAACAAAAGTAATTATTACTATGTTCAATTAATTAAGTAAACAAGAATTGTAACATTTCCTTCGTCACTGAATTCTTTAGTACACATTTTGGGAATATTATTTGATTTGTGTTATAACAATTTTAATAATCATACCGGTTTTCTTTTGTATATTAAAATATTATATTTTTTTTTTTTGAGCTGCTGATGTTAAAAATTCAAACCAATTGCAACTAACGCCCTAATAAATCATATAAAAATAAACTTTCCTTATAGTTTATGACAAAATATTATACATGTAAAGTTATAACTAAGCTAAAATCGGTTGTTTCTTGTTGTTATTGATACATAACTTTTTAGATTTTACTTATTCTGATAAAAAATTGTATCCGCTAAAAAGGCAAATAATATAATTATTTATTCAAAAAATTATTACTTTATAAGTAATTCCACCATTTTTGATTTTTAATTAACGATACTTTTTATGAATCAACTACTTATATTAAAAAAAAATCACCTGAATGGTTTTAAACTCGAATGCAATATGATAAACATAAAAAATATTTCTGAAAATTTATTCTAACTAATGTGGTGTGGTTCTAAGGCGTAATTGTTTTACAAAGACATTAATGATAATAGAGAGTAAAATAAAAATTTTAGATAGTTGCGTTCCGAAATGATCGAAATGAAAATAATAATAATAAGAATAAAAGAATACGACTCAGAAGTTATTACCTAAAATAAGAAAAAAGATTTGAAATCGTTATTTAGATCGCTTGACCAAACTCAGTACCTCAAAAAAATTAAAAAAACAGAAAGATCAAATAATGAAACATATTATAAATGGAGTTGATTTAAAATAAGTCACTTTATATTAACAAAAAAAACTAGGGGATGTTAAACAGTCCCAAATGATTGTGAACAAATAAAGAAATTACGAGTTTTAGAAAAGTCTAATCGCTTATCTATAATAAGTAACTCTAGATAAAAAAATAGTTTATGAATAACTTTTAAAAGAATATGAACATTGAAATCGACAATTTTCATGTGAGATCCGGTCCATAGGACCGGTCCTAAGTTTCAAAAATCTAGATTCTGGATTTCCGCATAATTTATTATATATTTTTAATAAATAAATCTTTAATTAATACATCATACTTAGAAAGTAAATATACCGCCAGCAAAATAAAAAGCTACTCTATTACTAGCAAATTTATTTGGACTTTTAGGACCGTTTTGGACCATTTAACATCCCTAAAAAACAGACACAAAGGGGAATCTTAAAAAAGTGAACAAAATATTTTAAAAATCCATCGAAATTGGTTTACAATCAATTTTTATACTCAGAAATTTTTTTTCATCTGGAAGCATTAAGAATTATACTTGTTCAGAAAGTCCTATACCTCATCTGTCATCTGAACAAACAAAAATTTAATTTTATGATTGGATCAATACACGTTAACAAATAGAAAATAATAATTCAGCAAATGGTTCAAGCTTTTCAGTATTCCTTATGGTACGATTATAGAAAATTTGCAATTTAATTTTCTCAATAATAGATTTAATATAAGAAGTAATAAATTGAATATCGATAGTATAATATAAATAAGTAATATTTAACTTTATCAAGGAACATAAGTATTATATTGCCAGCAAGATTCTTTGTTATACAAAATCAAGCGAGGGCTAATCTAAAGTACCTTGTTGACTTGTTGAAATTTAATGTTTAAAATTTTTTAGGAATATTCCCTTTGTTTGTTTTCAATAATAGCATATTAGAGAAAAGCTTTTACTAATACTCCCTTCAATCTCTTTCATTTTAATTGCTTATTTTTTTATTCAGCGACTTTCTTAAATTACTTTATCAATTTTTTAAGTAAAGGCAATAAATTTTATAACTAAGTCTATGAAAACGGTAGAAATGCAAATTCTCATAGCAATATTATTGAATAATCCGATTTTCTCATATAGAAAGCGATAACTAAAATTACAAAATTTTTACATAATAACATATGCGCATAAACAATTCATCAAAAGTGATCACGATTTGATTGCAATTACAATTAAATATTTGATTTTGCTGAAATAGTGTTACGATGACAATTAAATTATTATGCGTGATATAATTATATTTTAATAAAAAAATTAAATTAAATTAGCATTAGTAACCCGATTGTATTGTTTGCTTAATAAAGTTAGTAATTTTGAAGATCGGCATAGGGCCAAATTGGCCACTTGGCAAGTTGATTACAGGACGAATTAACGACTGGTCAAAACAATCTCTAGTCAATTGGTCCTCTAGGCAAATTGTTCCTTTGAAAATAATGTATAAAAGAGATAGCTTGATGTTTGGGTTGTTAGCTGCAAGATTAACATTATTAAAAGATCGTCAAAAATTGATCTTCAAATTTATAGTTGACTTATTTGACAA